AAACACAGACAGCATCTTGTCAATATCAGTCCTCCAAAAAGAAGAAGAAGAAGAAGAAGAAGAAGAAGAAGAAACACTTTAAATCAGGCTGCAAGAAAAAAACTGAAAAACATGAGAATCTGCTGCTCTCTAGTGGCTGAGCAGGTAAGAAACAACACTTAGCCAATTCAAGATGGCCGCAGCAGCTCAACTTCACAAGTGAGTTTTGCAGATTGGCTTTTAGATGATTTAGATTAGCTATTAGAGTGTAATTTGGTATGATAGCAGATGAGAGTCATTTTTAACCCCACACTTAAACACTAACAGTTTGTATGAGATATTTGTTTAAAATGACAGCATGCATTCTTTCAATGAATGCTGCTTTATTTGTTCTTTTTTTCTTCAAAAACTGTGCCCCTCTGCTATTAAAAATGTGAAACTTAAGTATAAAAAAATAATTCCAATAAGCTTTTTATGTTCTAGGCTGCCAAGAAAATAGCMCTTGTAAAATATATTGCCAAAATTGAACAAATGTTTATTTGCAATCACCACATAACTTATGAATGAGTAGCTCATATCTCAGTTTGYATATGTTTTTTATTTCAAAATAAAAGCTCTTGTCTGCAAGATTATTATTGTTTGTTTTCCTAAATAATATGAAAGAATGCATGCATACAAACCCAATATATATTATTTTTAAGTTTACCTTTAAGGTTAAGGGCATTTAACTTTAGATAAGTGACCAGTCTGAGTCATTTTGTCATTTGTTTTCAATTCTAAAAGCTTCACTCCAGTGAAACCAGCTAATATGAACTATAACATAAATGTTCCCACATGCGCTGACAATCATTGCTGTTTCAGTTACCCAACACTGCACGCCCCAGTGCATGAACAAGTAACTGGACTTTGTCACCTGTTTTCAGGATTAGTGATTATTCCTTTATTATTTTTTATGTTAATATGATACCTGACATCATTTTTTTAGGCAGGAACATAAACACACACATGGATCTGGGTGTCCATTAATACCTAACCTGCAGCTCATCCTTCCTTTTACTGTTTCACTTTGATGCGTCCATGTCCATCCCACATGTCCAAGCAGGCAAGATGTCACATCTGTTAATCATCTCAGTGAAACACATGTCTAAAGTGTAATTTGGTGGCTTTACGACATTTTTAGGAAATTTCCTTGCATATCTTGAATTGAAGAAAAGGCGGTAAACATATCCTGAACCATCAAATGACAGGCTGGCAGATTTTGGCTTTTCTCAGCGGCCTGGCCGGGCTTGGCGCCACCATCGGTGCCACCGCGTCCAATGAGTGGAGGGCCACAAGCCGGGCATCCTCAGTCATCACTGCCACCTGGGTGCTGCAGGGTCTGTGGAACAACTGTGCTGGGAATGCCATTGGAGCGCTGCACTGCAGACCCCATCATACCATGTTTCAGCTGGAAGGTAGGGTCAGCTCTCTGTGCAGAACAAAATCATCTATCAATCAGCTTTGATTGATTTAAGGAACCTTTATGGTAAATAGTGATCCAGTAAATGTATTGGGTGTGTGTGCAAATGTGTTGTTTTGTCACAAAAAAAACTGCATTGTTTATCTTTAATGCTGAAGATGCAAACAAAAAGTCTTTCAAACAATATTTTCCATCATTTAAACTGCAAAGATTAATAAATGAACCCAAAATTTAAAAGTCATACATTTAACAGTTTCTACACAAACATTTTAAGTCCTCATATATTTAAGTTTCTACACAAACATTTAAGTGATTATTTTTTAGCTTATTTGAAGTTGTTTAAAGTAATTTGTTGCATAAAAACATTATATTTTAAATTAGGAATGTCTCATGCAGTCCAAGAATTAAAACTTACAGGAGTCTCTGTTTTGAAGATATTTGAGCTTCATAATTTTGTCATTTAGTGTGAGTTTTGTCGCTTCTTTATCTTAGTTTTGAATTTTAAATGTGCGTCATTTGGCGAGACTTGCATTTTTTGTCATTTCCTCAAAGAAACAAGAAAATAAATGAATCACTTAACCATACTCTGACTTCTGGTTTTCCGTCAAACAATAAAAACTTTAATGATCGTTTTAATCTAATTATGGTTAAGGTTTTAACTGACACAAATGTGTCCTTTTTTAGTGATATCAAACTGGCAGCGCTGTTATAAAGAAAAAATAAATGAATGCAATTAATAATTCATCAGGTTAAAATTAAATCGACAAAGAGCAATAAAGAGTTTTTTWAGTCAACTTATGACAATTTGTTCCATTTTAACCAACATTTTGTGTATGTAGAGTTTGTTTGCTACAATTTATGTTATTATAATGATTCATTTTTTTAGAACGGTAAAGCTACAAAATATAGACATTATCTATACACTCACCGGTCACTTTATTAGGTACACCACGCTAGTAACGGGTTGG